TTGTGGTTTTACAAACCAAAATATTTTCTAAATAATGTAAATGTAATTTTACATATGGTCTATTTTATATGACTGAAATCATGACCTTAAAAGGATATGTCTGATTACAGAGAAGATTTTTTAAAAACAATATTTTCCCAAATAGCTGCTGTAAGATTGGCAAATTAAAGTCAAAATAGCTTGATATTTCACTGATTGAATTCATCGTTCCTGCATTTTGGTGAATAAACATAAAATCCATATAGTCTAGCTGGATGACTTTGCAACCCCTCTATTGTATGTAGCAAAATATACAAAATGATTGACTCTTTCATTCCTTTATTGGTTTACTGAAAAATGACTGCCCCATTTTTCCCTATGTTCTAAAGGATGTAAGTCAAGCTGGAGTATGATTCCACTGGTTTCATGAGCAACCTCCAGGTAATTCACCCAAGAGACTATTTTTCACATTTCTGCCTCGGCACTGAGTCCTGGTGGGCTATTCAAACATAAGAGTTATCATTGCTATCCCTAATGCTGTTTTCACCTAATGAATACTTGCACATTCAGCATAGGCTACTGGATAAGCAACTATATAAGTTTTCCCCCCTCCACAGCCTGGGGGCGCTAAGATCAATTAAAATGCTTGCATCACTCCCCACCTGAGATCAGTGAACTCATCAATTTTGATCTGTTGCTCAATTCCACACCAAGCTATCCATCGAGCCATCGGTGGTGCACTGCCATTGACCCCCCCTCACCCCACTACCACTACCCCACCTGATTTCCATCTGCCTGTTCAAGTGGGTGTTGAAGACTCCATGGCACTTTTTGAAAAGAGAAGGGAATTTCTCCCAGTGACCAGGTCAACAATCGTGTAGAAAAAATTGGTCATTCACTTCATGGGCTGTTTGTGGAATATGTTGTACTCAAATTGGCTGCTGGGTTCCCCTACAAATACACAGGCACCACACTTCACAGTAAAATCCTGTGAAGCACTTGGGGTCATCTTGATGATTTGATAAGGCATTATGTCAAATGCAAGTGTTATCATTTATTATAAGAGCCTGTTCACAAAGAATTCCAAATAGTCTGAAGTTTTAGCCTAAAGGTGAAGCTACACATACTGTTAATACAAATTAAATCTAAATGAGCATTTAAAAACTGTAGTACAAATAAAATCAACATGATCAAACTCGTCCTTATTCAGAACGAAAATAATTTTATTTTCTGATTATTAGTACAAATTAACATCTCAAAATGATTTAACCATTCCAACAGCACATTGCATCAGCTTTGAATGAGCTTGTGTATCAATTGGTGGGGAGGGGAAATCAGTCAATAAATTGTTTTGAATTGTGAGTATCACAGTGAGTGCATGCCTCACAAATTAGATGGCAGCAGTTTTCATTCAAGGGGTGGTCTGTTGCTATCAAATCGGTCCATTTGAAATTGGCATCATCAATTTAGAGCTGAGATACTAAGTGAAGTGCTACCCTATGCCAAGATTTAAAATTATTCTCATCTTTTATTGATATGTAATTACAATGCTGAGGGAAGGGAAATCCAAAAGAGGTGAGAGCCAGCCTTGTTTGTCAAAACACTGCTGACAACTATTACTGAACAAGGAGCACAAGGAAGAGACAAAATTCCAGAGGATTATGATAACTAATTGGTTAGACGTGATTTTGACATAAATAATAGGATATGTCATGGTTGACAGAGTCATGTGATAAATATCTCCACATGTGAGGGTAACTTATGAATGATGAATTCATGACTCGCTTGTAGTCAACCTTCAGAGTAAACTGTCTCTTATAACTCATTACTGACCATGACATGTTTGATTGCTAACGTATTTGTAGCTTACTTTTTTACTGAACTACAATTAAATGTTAGTGAGGGTTTTGTGCAATCAAAAATCAGCTGAACTTTAAAATAAACTTAATGATCAATCTTAAATTTGTAACAAACTCACTTTATCATTATGATGCCACAACAGTATTGTCATTAGTGTTGCTATGCACACATCATAAATTGTTTTCAGGGAAAAATGTTTCTTTTTATATTGCTCATTTTAAGAATCTAATTTTTTGTATGCATAATCCTTGGTTCTATAAGCATATTTACAATGTAAAGCTATGTGTTGACTTTATTTTTCCACGAATGCACGCCAATTCGACGAAGTTGTTGTTCTGCACTATAAAAATAAGATAGTGTCCTATATACTTACTGTATGAACAATGGTTAATTTGTTAAGAACAAAAAGTTAACAAGTATCAAGAAATACAGAACTTCTTTGGAGGAAAAGAATAAATGAGCAATTGTTGATTATGTGTGGGGCAGCACGGTCCATCTCAGGAAAGGAAACTGACCTAGTTGGCTCATCCCATAACAAGTGCACCCACTATTGGTTGACAGTGAAATAGCATTAGAAGCTATGGATAAGGTTGCTGCATACGAGTGTATGGAGACTACTTTGTTGCCCTGCAACAAACCAAAAATTTGTCATGTTCTGACAAGCCAATGCTGGTAGAGAAAGAACAGATCAGGTTAATGGTAATACCCTTCCACTTCTCAGTTTTTTCCCCATTTTCTCCTCTTTTGGCTTCCTCACCAGAAGGCTGTGCCTTTGCAGCACTTTGGTCCATGTGAGGCTTCAGCCCTCCAATGTGTTGAGAATGTCTTCATTTACAAAAAGAAATGTTAAGCATTGGCGGGCTATTCAGCTATGTGGTCTGCGTGTGTTTGTGGAGGTTAGGGGGGTGGTGGGGGGTGCTCTCAACCTAAGTTGATCTTGTCCTCAACAATGCCATGCACACGTTTTAGCATTTTTATGTTCAGCTGAGAGAGTGACACATGCAGATACACTGTACTTAAGAGAATTCAAACCAAACTGAAAGTTCCACATATGAACACTTTTTAGTATGAGTCATTTAATAGCAATCAGGTACTGAAACCCATGCTAGCCAAGTAACATTGACCAAAGGGATATAGCCTTCTAAAGGATAGAGGGATATAGGGATAGGGCGGGTAAATAGAATTAGGTTAGAAGGTCAGCCATGATCTTATTAAATGGCGGGGCAGACTCGAAGACCCAAATGGCCTACTCCTGCTCCTATGTCTTATGGTCTTAAGGTCTTCAACTGTATCCCTCAAGTTAGTTTGTTTAACTCTACACAGGTCAAGCACTGAACCTATGAACTTCTTGTACTGTATAGTAGTGGTATCACACCACACAATGGAGTGACATTTGGAGTTTCATAGCACGTTCAATATGATAATTAAAAATCTATGAAACTAAGTTTACCCCAATTGATTTACCCATTGAGCCAACCAACAGTTTTTATTGTTTAGACCCTTTGTGGCATTTTGACAGTATTATGCTTTGTTTTATTTATTATGTTCCACTGGGATTCAATGGGTATGTAGTACTGAGTGCAGCAGAAGTGACATAACATTTATGGTGGGTTAATGCAAATGTAACGTACAAATGTATGATGCTGTATGACATCAAATGTCTTGTTTCCACAATGACTTTCTGAACACCAAGAGCCAGGAGCAGAATGTAGGCCAAATCCCACAATGAATGATTTGATCTTGGCTGAAATGCACCAGGCACCTAAAGTATTTTAATCGAAGCACGTAAACTTAAATTTTCAGGCAGTCACCTGCGAGGGTTGCTTCTCCCTACTTTGGCAGAAGCAGATTTGCTGAAATTTAAACCATACACAATATATCACAACAAAATACAGTAATCAAATTGATAGATAGATATGATGCTGTAAGGTGCGAGTACAAAACTGAGATAGGGCCTGTTGTGTGCAAAAGGGTTGCTGCATTTGTCTACAAGAAATAATCACTACAATTCAGTGTTTATTGTAAAAATGCTTTGAGATGTTTTGCGGTAACGGCCTATACATTTATCTTCAAATATCCTTGTCCCACAATATCCTAGGCACCTTCTTTGAAAGTACACCGGAGTCCCAAGGTTGTGAGTATGGGTGTTAGTTGGCAATGTATGTGTTTAGTTGATAGATGAACAGGAGTGAACACTGACGAATTAGAAATTGCAATGTCAGTGCTGTGAAAGCGCTGCAAAATTATGGAGCCCCCAAAAAAAACCCTCGCAGGTGACTGCCTGGAAAGTTAAGTTTACGTGCTTCGATTAAAATACTTTAGGTGCCTGGTGCATTTCAGCCAAGATCAAATCATTCACTGTGGGATTTGGCCTACGCTCTTGCTCTTGGTGTTCAGGAAAGTCAGTGTGGAGTCACAAGAGAGGGTTTCAGTGTGTGTGTGTGTGTGTGTGTGGGGGGGGGGGGGGGGGTGTGGGGTGATTTTTTTTAACAAAATCTGTGCTCTCCAGTAGAACCATATTGATAGAATTTAAAAAAACCCAAAGCTGAGCAAGAGATTGGCTTTAAAGAGGTCTGTTTTGTTGCACACATTTTTTTTACTCTTGGCACATGTTGAATATTCTCTCTCTCTCTCTCTCTCTTCCACCACCACCTCCTCCTCTCTCTCTGTGTGTGTGTGTGTTTCACTCACTCACTCACTCACTCACACTGTAATGAATTTGAGACCAGGACCAATGAGCAGAGACCGGATGCAATATATCCTCTGGGACAACAAATGCTCTATTCGATCCTATGCAGATGACGCCATTTACCCATCGGCTGCCTCCGGAAAACCTCACGGCAGCTCTCAGGCAAATCTGCTGCTCTCTCTCTCTCTCTCTCTCTCTGACACACACACACACACAACACAACACACAACATCGATCGCAAAACTTCCCGTCTGCTGGAAAGGATCGAAGGGGGTCCCCGGCGGAGCCACAGCGCTGCACAGAGCCACTGAAGGAGCTTTAGTTTGTGAATGAAATTAAAGCCTCGGTTTCCTTCTGAAAAGTTGCAACAATTGACAATTTTCTCCCTCCCCCCCCCAACCCCCCACCCACCCCCCCCCACACCCTCTCCCCACTCCCCACTCCCCTCCCAAGAGTAGAGCGAGAGAGAGAGCGAGAGAGTGTGTGTGAGAGAGGGAAGGAGAGAGGGAGAGAGACTCCGCTCCTCGTGTCTGTATCCGTCGGTTTCATTCAGAAAAAAAAAGGGGGATTTTATTTTTTTTTTGCAAAGAATCGTCGCAGTTGTGAGACTGTCTCGGGGGGTCCGGGGGTCGGGGGTCGGGGTGAGCGGCGATCGGACAGGTCTCTCCCACCGGATGGTTTTGCGGAGTGAGTGCCCGGGACTGTACTGAACTGAACTGAACTGAACTGGACTGACCTTCGCTGGAGTTTGGATCGACGTGTTTTACTATCCGGAGCGTTGGTCTTTGATCCCCGAGAGAGAGAGAGAGAGAGAGAGGGGGGAGAGGGGTCGGTGGAGCAGCGCGACCCACGGTGAGCAACACCCCCCAACCCCCCCCCAACCCCCCACCAACCCCCCAACCCCCCCCCCAACCCCCCAACCCCCCACCCCCCCCCAACCCCCCACCAACCCCCAACCCCCCACCAACCCCCAACCCCCCCCCCAACCCCCCACCAACCCCCCAACCCCCACCAACCCCCCACCAACCCCCCCCCAACCCCCCACCAACCCCCAACCCCCCCACCAACCCCCCACCAACCCCCCACCAACCCCCACCAACCCCCAACCCCCCCCAACCCCCCACCAACCCCCCACCAACCCCCAACCCCCCCCCAACCCCCCACCAACTCTGAGAAACTCTCTAACCTGCAAACGGGAGAGGAGAGGAGAGGCGATCAAAAACCAGGCACTGCTGCGGATGCTCGGCACACACCGGCTGAGATCTGCAGAGGGTTTTCTTCGCCCCGAGAGCCCCGATGCCAATCTCGTCGGAAACTTCAGCGCCTCGTCCTCAACACGGACCCGAGTGTCAGGAACCGTGTGAGTTTGCAGAGCGGCTCTCTCCAAGACTGTAAAACGTTAACATCCCATCAGCTGGGGATGGGTTTGTGCGGAGTCCAGTCCCAGCTCCTGCTCCCCATCCCCACCTCCTGCTCCCCATCCCCACCCCCAGCTCCTGCTCCCCATCCCCACCCCCAGCTCCTGCTCCCCATCCCCACCCCCAGCTCCTGCTCCCCATCCCCACCCCCAGCTCCTGCTCCCCATCCCCACCCCCAGCTCCTGCTCCCCATCCCCACCCCCAGCTCCTGCTCCCCATCCCCACCCCAGCTCCTGCTCCCCATCCCCACCCCCAGCTCCTGCTCCCCATCCCCACCCCCAGCTCCTGCTCCCCATCCCCACCCCCAGCTCCTGCTCCCCATCCCCACCCCCAGCTCCTGCTCCCCATCCCCACCCCCAGCTCCTGCTCCCCATCCCCACCCCCAGCTCCTGCTCCCCATCCCCACCCCCAGCTCCTGCTCCCCATCCCCACCCCCCAGCTCCTGCTCCCCATCCCCACCCCAGCTCCTGCTCCCCATCCCCACCCCCAGCTCCTGCTCCCCATCCCCACCCCCAGCTCCTGCTCCCCATCCCCACCCCCAGCTCCTGCTCCCCATCCCCACCCCCAGCTCCTGCTCCCCATCCCCACCCCCCCCCCCCCCCCAGCTCCTGCTCCCCATCCCCACCCCCAGCTCCTGCTCCCCATCCCCACCCCCAGCTCCTGCTCCCCATCCCCACCCCCAGCTCCTGCTCCCCATCCCCACCCCCAGCTCCTGCTCCCCATCCCCACCCCCAGCTCCTGCTCCCCCCCCCCCCCCCCCCCCTCCCCACCCCAGCTCCTGCTCCCCATCCCCACCCCCAGCTCCTGCTCCCCATCCCCACCCCAGCTCCTGCTCCCCACCCCCAGCTCCTGCTCCCCATCCCCACCTCCTGCTCCCCATCCTCAGCTCTTGCTCCCCATCCCCAGCTCCCCATCCCCATCCCCAGCTCCCCATCCCCAGCTCCCCATCCCCAGCTCCCCATCCCCAGCTCCCCACCCCAGCTCCCCCCCATCCCCAGCTCCCCATCCCCAGCTCCCCACCCCAGCTCCCCACCCCCAGCTCCCCACCCCCAGCTCCTGCTCCCCACCCCAGCTCCTGCTCCCCATCCCCAGCTCCTGCTCCCCATCCCCATCCCCTGCTCCCCATCCCCAGCTCCTGCTCCCCATCCCCAGCTCCAGCTCCCCACCCCCAGCTCCTGCTCCCCACCCCCAGCTCCTGCTCCCCATCCCCAGCCCCAGCCCCCCATCCCCAGCCCCCCATCCCCTGCTCCCCACCCCCAGCTCCTGCTCCCCATCCCCAGTTCCGCGTCATTGGGACTGGATGGTCTCAGGGGCAGGAGAGCCGGGGCGGTGGGGTGGGGGGTGGGGGCTGTGTTGGGAAGTGGTGGTGGTGGTTGAGGGGTTTTGTTAAGTTTCAAAACATTGCAGTGGCGTTTTTTTCTTTACAAGGTTATATTTCAGCCGGGGACAGGAGGCACACTTGCCACCAGAGCAGGTTTTTAAAGACTTGGCAGATTCTGCTGTTGCAACGAGTTAGTTAATCAGTCAGAGAGGGAGAGGGAGATCACAGGGCAATAAACAGTTTGTGAAATTAACAAGTGAGTTGCACATTAACATCCACCAAAAAGCACTGCATGTTTTTTTTTGTTGAAAAAACAATCGGGAATTCCCGACCGGATCCGATTGGTATCCAGACCAGTCTGCATATTTGTATTTATTTATTTGCATTGATTGATTTGTTAATTTATTGCGTTGCACGAATTCGCAATGGCGTTTTGATTGAGAGATCAAACGCGATCGCTCTCGTGTTTGGAACGGGTTTCACGTTCAGTTCGCGTGAAAAACGAAGGCAGTGCGAAATAAATCTGGTTTGGGAAGCAGTTGTGTGAAGTGCGGTGCTGTGGGGATTCTCAGGAGGGAGAGAGGGAGAGAGGGAGGGAGGGAGGGAGTGAGGATCACCCTCTCCTCCCCTCCTGGTTTGCTGGTAAACTTAGAAAGAGAGAAGAACACTTAAAAAGTTTCTCTTAAAAGTTTCCATGGTGGGGTTTGGGGCTGGCAACTCGCACCCCCTCCTCCCTCCCCTTCACCGGCTGCATGTTTGCCAAAGGAGTGGGTCTGTGTTAACTTTCCACGTGTTTGGGATATTTATTTGGAAGAGGGGAAGGCAGGGCAGGTCCTCACTCACTCACTCACTCACACACACACACAGTCACTCACTCACAGTGTTTGAGGTTTGCAGAACTTCCTCCCAGATCAGAAGTGAAGTTGGAGATGGGTTGGAGACCAGAGGTGGATCCTGATCCCATCCCCAGCCTCTCCCTCTCTCTCTGCTGGTGACATGTGGAAGTTGTCACGATCCTCTTTCACGGTGTATTTAAAAACCTCACCGACAATATACACATTGCACTCAGTTTGCCTTTGACGGCAGATTTGATGAAGAAGACGAGAGAGTTGAGTTTGCTGAGGATGTGTTGGGGAGAGGAGGGGAGGGGAGGGGAGTGGGGGGTTAGTTTTCCAATGGTCCCCAAGTTAAGTATCAAGTCTTTGGTTGTTCTCCTCTTTTAACACAAGGAATGATTGAGAAAACCAAGGCTCTGGAATATCTTCTCACCAGAGACACTGAAAATTCACCCCAGTGGCATTTCTGGAGTTGTTTGGGTAATTTGTAATAGGAAATTCTCTGAAGACCAACGTGATCTGTGTGCAAATTTTACACACTGTGTGCAGTAGGTGGCCAGATATTTCAGTCGTTCATCCCCCTTGTATTTGTGAGACTCTCATTAACATGATCAACAGCATTGTTTAGTCGTGTATTAGTTCTTTAGGTCATTTGACCGTTGTGTTGCTGTTTTTATTTACTTTTTAAATTTACTTTTTTTTCACTATTCTCTCCCTAACGTGTTTTAGTCTCCAGCCCTTTTAGGGTTCAAATCTTACTTTGCTTTTATGCATTAAGTTTTTGAGTGGCGAAAGAACTCAGCCAGAACTTTTTTTTGGACAAAATCGAACAGTGAATTGTGAACCATTTAACGTACAATATTAGTGTATTGTGCATTGAAACCAAGAAAAACACTGGATTTATTGCTGCAAAAGAAGCGGCGAGAGGTGCTGCTTTTGAAAACAATAATATTTACCTCGGAAGGCGTAATTTCCTTTGCATTTGGTCTTTGATTCACTTAATGATTAACGGTTAAATGAAACGTTTCTTTTCATTTCCCCCTGAATGCTGCCGTGCTTTTGCCATACTGTTGTCCTTCACCTTGCCGTTGCTAGTGACTAGGTAGGTAGGAAGGTAGGTAGGTCGGTGTGCATACCTGCAGTAGCCAACAACACCCAAAGGGCAGCAGCGCCTTTCTACAGATGCTACATAGACCCACTTCCCACAAAATAACGTAGGGGAGAGGCCTGCAGGGGCATTGCTGAAGTCAGTAGTGAGGCAAAGGGTAGTGGCCAGTGAACATTTGTGAGGTCAGATCTTAGCATTTCAAGCATTCTGGCTGTTCTGCAGAGAAGATAGTGGGAGATTTGGTGATTTGATTAAATTACTACAGTAGTCACAAAAGCTCACCTGAAGGAACATAGATGTATCCTATCAATATCAGGAAGTAATTGGATATGACCACCTCGACCACTCTCTGCCCCACTGTAAAATGCATTGTCTTTGCATTAAAGACGTCTTCCTCATGTTGAAACTTCTCCAAACTGCAGTTTATACTTTGTTGGAACTATCTATCATGATTCATCTTGTGTTTGTGTGATACTGTCAAGTTGCTGCTGTTCAGTTATGTTTCTAATTAGCTCTGCTAGAGTACCAAACCCTGCACACGGGGTTTATATGAAGCATGACTAATGATATGGTCAAATTAAATGTTCCTTTCAGAGTTGAAGGCCAAGCTGCTCTCCTATGGCAGACCTTCAGATTGAGAATACTCCCATTAATATGTTTTCTGTCAGCACCTCTATATCCAATTGTGGGAATGTTGCTTCGGGACAAATGTACAAGACTTGCAAAGTTTATAGTTTTAATTGTGCCAGGTTATATTTGGGCACATAATATATATCTTTATTGAACTGACCAATCAAAACTTTTAGCTTGACATTTGTAGACTTACAGATTGAAAGCCTATTCCGTTTGCCTTTTCTCTGCCTTCAGTCTGATTGTCAAAAATGTATAAACAGCTTAGTTCCAGGAAATCAACAGTGCTTGTTCAAGGGAGGGGGGCTGGGGGGCGTGAACGAATCATAAACATTGCTGAAGTTGCTGAAGGCAAAATATACAAATGTCAGAACACGTCCAGCCTTATGCGTTTACTTGTATTGCACAAAAGGGTGAAAATTCCTAGCTTATTATTTAAAGATAGCTTGTAAATTAAGAGGAAACTATAGCATGTTTACTATGTACAACTCAAGCTGAATTGTTTTCTTTTTTGTTGTGTTTTACAGGATTTCAGATGTGTTCTAAGCCTACTGGAGTGATCACTCTTCAGTGTACAGATGGATACGCGAACTCAAAATGGCAGCGGTTCTCCAGCCCTGCTACAGTTGCTGCGTGACAGTGGAAGGCAACACGTGGAACCTGACCCCAGGGATGTACAGCCACAGCAGGTTCAAGTGTTGTCGCTCGATCAGATCCGAATTATAAGAGCCACTAATGAATACACAGAGGGACCTACTGTTGCTCCAAGGCCCGGGAATAAGTCTGTGTACCGACCACTTTCCCAGCACAAAAATGAGAGGATGTCTGGATTAAGTAATGACCAAGAGCACCAGCGGTTTAACCACCGTAGTCAGCACCACCATCATCATCATCACACGCATTCTTCTTTCAGGCTGCCTTTGACTCGGTCAACTAGCACTGTAAGTGCCGGCTCTCGGAGTAGCACAAGGACAAGTACAAGCAGTACTGCCTCTGACCAGAGGCTTCTGGGACCTTCATCCTCACCATCCAGCCATCTTTCGGATCGAATAATCAGGGTACAGCCTAAATCGGAATTTAAATCCGACAAACTGAAACCTCTGGAGAAAGAAGAGTTGGGAAAGCACATCTACCGATGTGAAGACTGTGGAAAGTGCAAGTGCGAGGAATGCACTTATCCAAGGACTCTACCTTCCTGCTGGCTCTGCGACAAGCGGTGCCTCTGTTCAGCGCAGAATGCAGTGGAATATGGGACCTGCGTTTGCTTTGTGAAAGGCGTCTTTTACCACTGCTCAAACTATGACGATGAGGACAACTGCACAGATAATCCGTGCTCCTGCAGCCAGTCACACTGCTGTGCCCGGTGGTCAGCCATGGGCCTCATGTCCCTCATTCTGCCATGCCTGTGGTGTTACCTGCCTGCCAAGGGATGCCTTAAATTGTGCCAGCAGTGCTATGATAGGATTAACCGTCCTGGGTGCCAGTGCAAAAATTCAAACACAGTTTGCTGCAAGGTTCCCAGCTTACCTCCTCGGAACCTTGAGAAGCCCTCCTAGCTGAGGAGAAGGGAATTACTCTTTAAATGCTGTTGCTTGACACTTCTATTCTGTACACTTGTAGTATGAGGAGGAGAAACGCATTTACAATACTAGCACTGAGTACAATGCAGGATGCCTTTCATCAGACCACCTTAATTGATGTAAATTAATGAATCAACAATCATTAAGATGGTCTTGTGTGTCTTTTTTAAAAAAAATCAATTTAAAAAGGTATCTCCCGTTGGGCTTGGTCTTGTCTTCTTGTTGACGAGCATGAGTGCCCCTATCTCTTTTTGTTGTGTATAACATTAGCGCTGCAGTTATCCAGAGTTGTGGTTTGCAGTGATGTTGCTGTTGATCCTGTTTTCTCCGCCTCTATTAACTGGTATGCAAGAGGATGGAAAACATCTGATCAGGGAGATCAAAACAGGATACACAATGCCCATTGTTTTTGAAACCGCATAAGCTACAGGTAACTCGTCAACACTCCTGGTCATTCTGTATTGTATGTGAATAGTTCTTGCAAAGTATGTAAATTAGCAAATTGCTCTTTTTTTGCTGCCAGAGTTAATTTGTTATATTTTTGTATATACAATAATATTAAGACTGTGAAAATGGTGCCAGATTAATGGCAGATTTACAAAATATCATACTAATATGTTGTACATTCAGACAAATGTGAATCAAGTTGATCAATATGTTTAGGCTATATTTCTCCTTATAAAATTTACCATTACATGTCTGATACCCCCTGACATCATGTATATTGTACAGTTACCATAAATTCAGTCTTTATTTTCTAATTTTTCAACATATTGTTTAGTGTAAAGAATATTTATTTGAAGGTTTATTATTTTATAAAATATTTATTTTAAAAGGCATCTTACAAAATTCACCCTTTTTAAAAAAAATTGGAACATCGTAGTTGCTGAAAACAAGGGTGACAAATAGGATGCGTATGTTCACTATAAAATAGAAAATATATTAACGTTTTGAAATCAAACCGTGTACTACTTTGTCTTTTCTGTTCTGCTCTTTGCTCCTGTGGTAAAAGAGGAAGATGGTGTCACTTAGTATTTAAATAAATCCTCTGTCCAGGGAGCCATTCGAGCAATGCACAGCATAGTCTCTCAGTATCCAAATGTAAGGTCACTTAGGATAACCACATGCAAAAAGGTGTTATAAGTTATTTAATTAATGGATATGTCTTAACACATTTCCACCTTCATTATATGTTTATTTAGTTACATGTGCAATAATACTACTGGGCCTGAATCATTCATCCAATGTTGGACCACTATGTGTGCATTTAGTTGCCCTTTAATGACTATCTTGTAGTGAGGATGAGTCCTGTGGCTCAGTGGATAGAGCACTCCCCTTGCAAGCGAGAAACCTGGGTTCGATTCCTTGCAGAGCGAAACCTTGGGCAAGTTTCCTTACTCTACATGCCTGGTAATAATCCCTCAAGAAAAATAAATAATAATTTGGTCACTTCAATCCATGACTGTTTGTGCGACACTGCTGTGCCAATTGGCTGCCGGGTTTTTCCCACCAATATACAGTCAATTCACTTTATGGTACTTTCTGTAAAGCTCTTTGAAACGTCTAGAAGATGTAAAAAGCGCTATATCAAATGTAAGGATTATTATTATGTGAGACTGGGCAATGATACAGTTTAGCATAATACCAGGAATTTGTGGTAATGAAAATTATCTGACACAAACCAAAACGTGAAGCTTAAAATTCACTTTGCACCCACCAGAATAAATAACTTTCCACCTTTCAGATTTAAACTGCTCTCTTGTGAAGGTACAAAGTGGTGGCAATAGCAGCGAGAAAGCTTACTGAGTGTCAGTAAGACATAACCTGGGCCAACAGAAAAGTGTAGCCGCACTTTCCCATGGAATCTGCTATAAACCCCCCTCTGCTACACACCCATTTTAAATGAAGTTTCTGTCCCACGGGCCGCTTGCTGGTTACCTGACGTCACTGCGGGTGGAGCAGTTCCGGACGCGCATGTGGGGTGTGGTGCAAGCGGCAAATGAACTTCACTCGGAGGCCCCGCTTTGTGATTGTCTGTGTCTCTATGTGTTTGTGAGTGCATGTGGTGTCTCCGTGTTTATGAATGTGTGTATGTGTCTCTGTGTCTCCATGTGTTTGTGAGTGTCTGTGTGTGTCTCTCTATGTGTTGGTGAGTGTCTGTGTCTCTATGTCTCTGTAAGTGCCTCTATGTGAATGTCTGGGTGTGCCTCTGTCTATGTCTTTTGTGAGTATTTGTGAGTATATTTCTCTCGATGTGTGTGTGTGTCTATCTCTATGTGTTTGTGAGTGTGTCTCTCCTGTTTGTGTGTCTGTTTATGCGTGTCTCTGTGAATGTGTATGTATGTTTCTCCTCTGTCTCTGTGTGTGTATATCCCTTGTGTCTATGAGTGTGTGTGTGTCTATCTCTGAGAATGTGTCTCTCTTTCTATCTGTATCTCTCTCTGGGTCTGTGCGGTGCTGGCCCTGAGAGGCAGGATGTGGTGAGCTCCTGTAGCCTCACTGGTCTCTCTCCCACTCCCCCCCCCCCCCCCCCACCCCCTCCAAAAAAAAGGGCCACCCAGTTTATGTTAAAGAGGTTATTAATATTTTTTTGCAACAATCTAATATGTGGTATTTCCTTATGTTTAGTTTTGATCAATAAAGTGAAAAAATGTAGATTGGCAGTAAAATGTACCTCAATAGCGCTAAACAACTCCCCACAATTTTCTGCAAAACATGCCAAGCCCCCGGAATTCCCCGCAAATTTGTAAATCTTCCCGCAATTCGGGGCAAACATTTCCGCACTTTCTATTGGCCCAGGACATAACCACCAAATCTAGTTCTGACATCATCTGGCATCCATGCACACACTTCCAGTAGACCCATTGGATAGTGATCGGGAGCACAGAGTGCTTAGCGAAGGAACAGAGAGCAGTTGTATCACCTTCCTGCAAATCTGGCTCTGAATCAGGAAACATAGCACAGGCCAGGAGTGAAACATGAGACTTTCATGGTATGTAGCTCAGTGCCATGCCATATCCTAAAAGAATAAAAGGATCCTGATTATTTTTAATGTGTAAGGGGTCTTAACATATCCACTAAATTGACTGGACTATCATTAAATAATTTGTTGACACTATTAACAAAATATTTTGCATTAAGTTTCATTAAAAACTGGAAATACTTTGCAGTATTCTGCTCTTAATATCCAATAATAACATGGAATATAACTTAACCATACAGGATCAACCAGAATATAACCAGTATTATATCAACCAGTGGTGCCGTACAATAAAAATCTCCACTCACAATGCTGACATTCTATTTTCTTTATTTCTCTATTTCTCACTTGTGTGTTCTCCAGGCAGATTCACTTGTAGATATATGGAGAAAAAGGCAAATACATGCGACTGAAAAAGATTTTTTTCAAAGAACAACCACAGACAATGGGCAGAATGGTAATCTGTGCTGTAAATTTCTATGATTCTAAATTCCTCGAATCTCTCTGGTGCTCAAGATGCATCCTCTTACATCACCACCAAAATGGAATAACATAATAAGTTTCTTGTTTTCTAGCTAATATGCCGAAGTGATTCAAATGGAGTCGTTTACATTTGTTTTGATTTGTAGTTTTTACCTTTGTAAAGGGAATTAGTAATATTTCTCGTGTAGTGAACACTAAACACCGCATATCAAACAAAAATAGCCCCCAGCCCTCGAAACTAGAGAAAGTTAATTCTGAGCTTCTGAGCTCCATAGGCTAAATTAACAAGATGTCACTGTTTGAATATATCAGGACCATCAATGCAACAACAACAACAAATTACATTTGTATAGCACCTTTCCCTATGAGGACGTCCTGAGGCGCTGATCAGGCATAGTCTTGTGTAAAATAACCAGCAGTTATTATTACCTGTTATTATTACCCATTTATTACCTGTGAGCATTGCAGCGTTATACTTTTTTTAATTCACAAGCCTTGATTTAACAAAGCTAGTCTTGACTAAATGTTAGTATAATGCATCTTCAACAATAAATTGAGCAGAGGGGTTTGGCATGGAGGCGAGTGTTGTTCATGGCACATTTTGTTGCATTATGAAGCTGCAGAGCCCAACAGTTAATGTTTCACTGAAGTGGAAGAAAATTTGTAAAAAGAGGGTCACTGTTTCAAGCACAGGTGAGCAATGGATGAAGAATGAGGACTTTGCACCAATGTGACCTAGAGTCATTGTCAGTGCTTATGCCAACAGTGAGCATGTTACTGGTAGTATGCGTGGGACTGGAACACAAAAGTATCCTGAATCCGGGAGGAAAGAGCCAAGTGTAAAAATGCAAAGAAAATGTTTTTTTTTCAGTGTTTAAAAGTGGATCCCCAGTCAATGCAAATTTAGCTGATCTGTGATTCGGGGAAGTGGGGGAGGGGTGATGGTAACAGTAAATTACTACAATTGGCCTCAAAGCACCAGGTAAAGAAAGGTGGGAGAACAGTTAAGGTTCTTGCACCTGATCCACTGCTAAGATTCATATCTGCAGAAATCAAATATAAATGAGAATTCACATGCTTTTAGGAAAAACACTCATAAAAGATGACGGTTACCAAGCTCAGTATTCTTATTTTGAAAATTGCAGTTAATTCTCTGGGAAAGGGCGAGCTTCAACCTGTTTAAAATCAAATAGTTATAATGTTTTGTGATGAACTAGCTTTTTTTCCTTGTTCATTTCACTTTGGTAGCAGGTTTGGGCTCGAGGGGAATATTTCTGCTTAAAACAGTTCATGCTGATAACCTAATTGGGGAGAAACTGTCTCAAAGCACTGTATTGTGAAGGAGCTGAATTAACATCGGCTGTGCTACTGTCATTAATATAAAGTATTCCATCTTAGATTGCAGTTCCTCATCTTCATACTGGGATCTAATGTGCAACATGCGCAAACCAGATTTGATGTGCTAATTGCAACTTCCCGTTCTACATGTCAAAAGCCACCAAATTGTTTTGTATCCAAAATGGCTAATTGTGATTTACAAAGCCGATAAATTGTGAAAAAGTCTGGTGGCATGTTCCCTGACCTTTTCTCATACTCTGTAGGAAATCACAATTGCCCATTTTGCGAATAAAACAATCTACACCAACTGTTGGGCTCAGTTACTCTTCCAATGTAGGGTTTACACTGAGGTCCACCCATCCCTCTTCAGTCACGGCCTGCTCTGAAGTGAAAGCTGACAGCCTAGTTAGAGTTAATTCTGCCAGTAGATGGTTCTTCCCTTATCACCAGACACTGACATTGCTTTCAGTTGCTGAACAACCACGAACAGCTATTTATTCCATGCATGCCTTTTTCCTTTGACATTTTGACAAAAGTTACTATCTAAATAGCAGCAGCATAAGAGGGAAAAGGACAGAAGAAAATTTACCTCATGTACCAAGAAATATCTCAGTCTCCTCTACCTTCGGTAGCGTCTGATTTGGAAAAGCAATGGCAGAACATTCCCCTTATGTGCAAATTGTGTGTGTTATTTGTATGAAATCATGGTCTAAAATGTCATATTCACAAAATGAATTCATTGTGATTCTGGCCCAGTAGTACGGAGGCCAATTGTGGAGTCCTGTAGCTCAGTGGTTAGAGCACTCGCTTTGCAAGCGAGAGACCTGAGTTCAATTCCAGGCAGGGCGAAACCTTGGCCAAGTTTCCTTACTCCACACGCCTAATAATAATCCCTCCAAGATAAAACAATAATAAATTGGTCATTTTCAATCTACGACTGTTTGTGGGACATTGCTGTGCGCAATTGGCTGCCGCGTTCGCCAACAAATATACAGTCAATTCACTTTACATTGTGTTCTGTGAAGCGCTTTTGGACGTCCTCCCGATGTGAAATGCAAGGATTATTATTATTATTATTATAATTGCAGCATTCTTTCCTGCCCCACCTGAGATCAACTAACTCAAAACATACCGGAGATCCAACTTAGGACTTTCCAGGT